AGCAACAACAAAGCAAGCAAACACATTCGTGCTGCTGTTCGGTTCTCTCCTACTAGTGCTGTTGCTGCTGCTGTTGCTGCTGTTGCTGCTGTGGCTTACTGTCTAGCGGTTGTTGCAGCAGCTGTTCTGGGGCATCAACCTGCCTGTCTGCTGCCAGCAGCAGCAGCCCGCGCTGCAGCAGCAAACAATCTGATTCTCTCGTCCCTTGTGCTGCTGCCTCGCCAGAACTTCCTACTGCTGCTGCTGCTGCTGATGCTGGGCAGGTGTCTGCTGCATTGTCCTCGGTGCGTATGGCTCTGCAGGCTGCAGGGACATGTCGGGTGTATATGATGCTGCTGCTGCTGTTGCTGCTAGCTGCAGCAGCAGCAGCAGCAGCAGTCTTCCTGCTGCTGCTGCCTATCTCACACAGCAGCAGCACGCCGTGCTGCGACAGCAGCCGCAGCGCCTTATGATAGATCTCTGCAAGTGTATCTATAAGACAGTCTGCCCTGCCTATACCTGCTGCTGCTGCTGCTGCTGTGATTAGCTGCTGCTGCTGCTGCTGCTGCTGCAGTGCATCACCAGCTGCTTCCGCCTGCAGCACTACACGTAAAGCAGGCAACTCCTGCAGCTGCTGCAGTCGACGCCACATGGGCTGTACGTACCCCTGCTGCTGCCGCTGCTGCTGCTGCTGCGGTTGCTGCAACTTGTGCTGCAGGGCTTCTCGTTTCATCTGCGCTCGCTTCAATTGCTGCTGCTGCTGCTCCTGCTGCTGCTGCTGCTGCTGACGCTGGCGCTCCTCCTGCATAGCAGCCAGCTGCGCCTGTCGCGCTGTGGGGATCGTCTCGGGCATGTGTGGGGTTGCTGCTTGCCGCTGCCGCTGCTGCCGCTGCCGCTGCAACAGCTGCTGCTGCTTCTGTTGCTCCTGCTGCTGCTGCATCTGCATCTGCTGCTGCTGCATCTGCATCTGCTGCTGCTGTTGCTGCTGTCGGAGTCGTTCCCATTTGGGGTGGACACGGTAAGAGGCATCCACAGCTCGTGCTGCTGCTGTTGCTGCTGCAGCAACAGCAGCAGCATCTGCTGCTGCTGCTAATGCCTTAGCAGAAGGTATCCTTCTTCGCTTTCCTGGTGCCGCCTCAACAGTTGTGACTGCTGCTGCAGCTGCTGCTGCTTCTGCTGCTGCTTCTGCTGCTGCTGCAGCTGCTGCTGCTGCTGCATCCCAATTGTCCCCTGTTTGCTGCTTCCTGTGTCTCCTTCCTGCGCCTTGTCGCACTTCTGCTGCTGGCAGCTGCAGCAAACATACTGTGGAGTTGCCTCTTCGCTCTCTCTTCTTCTGCTGCTGTTGCTGCTGCTGCTGCTGATTATCGGCAGTATACATCCAGGAATCAGGATGTGCTGCAACAGCACCAAAGTCCGCCTGCTGCTGCTGCTGCAGCGGAGCAGCAACCCACCCATTTGGGTCGCCGTCGAAGAATCCCAGTTGCTGCTGCTGTCGCTGCTGCTGCTGCTGCTCTTGTAGCTGCTGCAGTCGCTGCAGCAGCAGCACCTGCAACTGCTGCTGCTGCTGCTGCAGCGTCCCCTTAAGACCAGCCAATGTATCCTTGTTGCTGCTCTGCAGGGCCTGCTGCAGCAGCACAACTTGCTGCTGAAGGCTGCTGCTGGGGTTAGGGAGTTGCTGCTGTGTCGGCATCATCCGCTGCTGCTGTTGCTGCAGTTCCTGATTCTGCAGTTGCTGCAGTTGCTGCAATTGCTGCAGTTGTTGATGCTGCGGCTGTTGCTGTTGCGATTGGGTTTGTTGCAGCAGCTGCAGCAGCAGGGGGTCCTGTGGCTGTTGTTGTTGCTGCTGCTGCCATCCCTCTTCTGCTGCGCTACTGCTGCTGAGGTTATGAGCCCGCAGCTGCAGCAGCTGCTGCTGCTGCGCTCTAAGGATTCGCTGCTGCAGCAGAATTTGTTTATCTAAGTCATCTGCCTTCGGCTGCAGCATTTGCTGCAGCAGTTCATGATGAGCTCCCTGCTGCTGCTTCTGCTGCTGCAGCAATTGCTGCTGCTCCTGCAGTTGATGCATATGCTGCTGCTGCTCCTGGTGTTGACGCTGCAGCTGCTGCGCTTGCTGCAGTTCCTGTAGTTGCCGTAACAGCTGCGGATGGTTTGCTGCTGCAGATGCTGCTGCTCCCGCATCACTTCCTATTGCAGGATCTCTAGGTACTTCAGCGGGCAACTGCTGCTGCTGCTGCTGACGTAGCTGCTGCAGCTGCCGCAGCAGCAGCAGCGGCTGCTGCAGCTTTTGGCCAATACCCAGGCCGGCCATTTTCTGCTCGTGCTGCTGTGTCAGCTGCAGCAACGGAGCGAGTGCTGCTGCTGCTGCTGCTGCATCTGCTCCTGCTGCTGCCATCGCTGCCTTCCTATTACCTGAGCAAGGGCGCCTGCAGGCGGGCCTTGCTGCTGTCGATGGCGCTGCTGCTGCTGTTTCTGATGCTGTCGCTGCTGCTGCTGCTGTTGTTGCGCAGGATAAGCAGAATCCAGCTGCTGCTGTTGCTGCTGCTGCTGCTATTGACAAGCAGCAGTGCTTTATGCTTTCCCCACAAGGAGACTCGCCAAACCCTCCCCGGTCGCAGCAGATTAGGGTTTAGGGTTTAGGGTTTAGGGATTCGGGTTTAGGGTTTGGGTCTTTAAACATAATAGGTAGCAGCTAGGGTTTATGATTTAAAAGAAAGGGTTTAGGGTTTAGGGTTTAGGGTTTAGAAGACAAACGCGCGGGTTTGGAGGCTGCCGAAGGCCCCGCCACCGCGAGGCCTCGTGCTGCTGCTGTTGTTGCTGCTGTTGCTGCTGCTGCTGCTGGAGCTCCTGCTGCCAGCAAAAGATAAAGATTCGAAAGTATTTTCATAGACACACTTCAATCGATTAAGACAGCAAGTGTAACAGTAGCAGCAGCAGCAGCAGCAGCAGCAAGGGAGGGCCCACCGCGGCTGCGTAGGCAGCAGCAAACCCCTCGATTTGCTGCTGCTGCTTCTTTCTCTACTATTAATTAATTCAATTAAATAATTAATTAATTCATTTATTTATTATTTTATTGTATTTTCTTTTGCTGCCAAGAGCTGCTCTTTGCTGCTGCAGCTGCGTGCAAACGGACCTCGCCGTAAACTACAGAGCGCAGCTGCCTGCTGCTGCTGCTGCTGCTGCTGCTGACGCCGCTGCCGCTGTTGCTGCTGCTGCTCGTATATCTATACGTGTTGCTGGAACTTTGGAGTTGTTGCTTCTGCCACTGCAGTGGCGCCTGCTCCTGCTGCTGGTCCTGCTGCTGCTGCTGGTGTTGCCGTTGCGGCTGCTGTGTGGGCTTCCGTGCTGCTGTGGCTGGCGTGCTTCCACTGCTGTTGCTGCATGCACAGCAGCAACATTTTAGTGTACAGACACCCCAGATGTTCCATTACCCCAGAAGACATGGCAGCATCAACCCGAAGCCAGCAGCGTCAGCTGCTGCTGCTGCTGCTGCTGCTGCTGCCGCACCTGCACCGGTACAGTGGCAGAAGCTCCTGCGTTAGCCTACCCTCTGACTTGAAGATGCCCACGGCAGCAGCAGGGTATCTTCGTAGCACCAGAAGGAGCAGCAGCAGCAGCCGCTGCTGCTTCTACTGCTGCCGCTGCTGCTGCTGCTGCTGCTGCTGCTGCTCCTTCCGCATCAAGGAGAACAGCATTGAGTTGTACTTAGACGTTTTAACTTGAAGCAAAGATAAAAGAAAAATAAAAAAAACAAAAGACTGCTGCAGCAGCTGCAGCTGCTGCTAGGAGTTGTGCTGCAGTTGCTGCTGCAACTGCAGCACAGCGGTGCTCTTAGACGGCAGGGGCAGCAGCTGCTGCTGCTGCAGTCTTATTTGCGAGCAACGGCTGCTCTTCCCCATCTTACTTTGGGTGTAAAGGCTGCGTCTGGCAGCTCGCTGCTGCAGCTGCTGCTAGGAGTCGTGCTGCTGCTGCTGCTGCTACTACTACTACTACTGCTGCTGCTGCTGCTGCTGCTCTCTGCGTCATAGTATCGCCTTGGTCGCATGCGGCGGCTGCTGTTGCTGCTGCTGCGGGCAGCCTGGTGTATCTGCTGCGGGTTCTTACCTGCTGTTGCTGACAGCACATCTGCGAGGTGCAGCAGCCGCTGCTGCTTCTGCTGCCGCAGGATATCTTGCTGCTGCTGTTGCTGAAGCAGCTGGCAGCGCCGCTGCTGCTCAACGAGGCCCCTCCATTGAAGGGCTCTTGCCTGCAGCGCCTGTGTCTGTGCTGCAGTAGCCTTCGCTGCGTCCGCTGCTGCTGTGTTGTCTGAAGCAGCAACCCCAATGCGTTGCAGCACCCGCTTAACAGTTTGCTGCAGCCCTGATTGCTGCTGCTGCTGCTGCGGCGGCTGCACCTGCATTTCCAGCTGCAGCTGCAGCAGCTGTCGCTGATACTCTTCTCTCCGCTGCTGCAACAGCAGCTGCTCCTGCCATAGCTGCTGAGTCCGCTGCTCTAACATTTGCTGCTGCTGCTGCAGCTGCTGCTGCAGCAGCTGTCTTTGCTGCAGCTGCAGCTGCTGCGTTCGAGGCGTCAGTAGGACATCTTGCTGCTGCATTGTGGGGGTGTCAGCAGCAGCAGCAGCTGCTGCTGCTGCTGCTGCTGTTGTCTGCAGCTCTTGTAGCATATCCAACGCCCTCATGACATTGGCGTCCTGCTGCAGCAGCTGCTGCAACAGCAGCTGCTGCTGCGCCTGCAGACCCTCCAGCTGCTGCTCCTGCTCTTTCCCCCCCTGAAGCTGCTGCAGAAGCAGCTGCTGCTCCCCTTGGTGCTGCCGCAGTAGCCGCCGCACCTGTCGGTGCAGCTGCTGCACCTGCTGCTGCAGCCGTGCTGCGCGTTGTTGCTGCTGCTGCTCAAGCAGCAGCCGCTTTTGTTTCTTTGCTGCGCTCTCTGACCGGTGCAGGTGCCGCTGCTGCCGCTGCAACAGATGTAGCAGCCTCTGTTGCTGCTCCTGCTGCTTGTGCTGATGCTCCTTCTTACCTTTACCCCTCTTCCTTTGCTGCTGCTGCTGCTGTAGCAAAGAAAGGGCCTGTTGCAGCTCCTTCTGCTGTTGCTGCTGCTGTTGCATCTCGGGAAGCAGCGCGTGTGCAGTCGCTGAACGAGGAGATAAGAAAAGGGGGCTGTTGCTGTTGCTGCTGCTGCTGCTGCTCCTGCTGTTGGTGCTATTGTAAGAAGGCTGCAGAGAAGCGAAGGCCTTGGGACTCTCAATACCGAGATAGCTGCAGCACGAATGCTCTTGTGTCAGCTGCTGCTGCAGCTGCTGTTGCTGAAGCTGCTGCAGTTGCTGCTGCTGTTGCTGTTGCTGTTGTTGCAACTGCAGCAGCAACTGCTGCTGCTGTGCTCGCTGGCGTTGATCCTGCAGCAGTTCCTGCTGTGTTGGAGCCAGCATCTGCTTCTGCTTCTGCTGCTGCGGCAGTTGCAGTTGTGTCAGCAGCAGTTGCTGCTGCTGCTGTTGCTGCTGCTGCCACGAGGAATGCTGCGGTCGGCAGCTCGGCAGTAGGAAAGGTGGGGAGGCTGATGCCCCGTCTTGCTGCAACTGCTGCTGCTGCTGCTGCTGCTGCTTCTGTGGAGTTACACAGCAGCTAATATCGCTCATGTCTGGTTGCCGCTGCTGCAGCGACGCAGCTTCTGTCTGCTCCACTGGACTATACCATGGCTCTGGCTGCTGCTGCTGCTGCTGCTGCTGGTGTAGCTGCTGCGGGGCTATTTGCTGTGGCTGCTGTAGTAAATGCTGCAGCGACTGTTGCAGTGGTTGCTGCTGAGGTGACTGCTGCAGAGGCTGCTGCAGCTGCTGCTCCAATTTCTGCTGAGGCGACTGCGGCACAGACTGCTGTGGTTGCTGCTGCAGCGGCTGCTGCAACGGCTGCTGCAACGACTGCTGCTGTGATGGTTCAGGTGACTGCTGAAGTAGCTGCTGCTGTGGCTGCAAGGGCGGCTGCTGAGGTGATAGCTGCAGAGGCTGCTGCTGCTGCATCTGCTGCTGCATCTGCTGCTGAGGTACAGCTGCATGCATCTGCAGCAACAGCGGGTCAGGGGAAGCAGAAGGTGTTTGCTGCAGTTTGCTGCCTTTGTAGCTGGGACTCTGAAGGTGTTGCTGCAGCAACGCTTGTTGCTGCTGCTGCTGCTGCAGCAACACCTGTTGTTGCTGTTGCAGCTGCAGCAGAGCCTGTTGTTGCTGCTGCTGCAGCAACGCCTGTTGTTTTTGCTGCTGCATCAAAGTCTGCTGTTGCTGCTGCTGCTGAAGCAAAGCCTGTTGCTGCTGCTGATGCACCAGAATCGTATGGAGGCTGCGGCTGCGCGGCCTCGGCAGCAGCTGCTGGAGCCGTTGGGGTGTCTGCAGCAATCCTCTTTGCTTCTGCGTCTCCGATGGCATCTGCTGCTGCTGCTGCTCTTTCTGCTGTTGCACGGATTGTGGGTGCCCCACCGGGCTTGGAACAAGCGCAGGCTGGCTAGGTTTCTGCTCCTGCTGCAGCTGCTGGTGCTCTTGTTGTTGCTGCTGCTGTTGTTGCTGCTGCTGCCCTGACTGCTGCGGTTGTTGTTGTTGCTGCTGCTGCGGCTGCGGGGGCCGCAGCAAGACAACTTCATCCTCTTGAAAGAGAGACGCAGGCAAAGAGGCATCCCAAGGTGTGTCTTCTGTCTCCATGTCTAAATCCGCTAATTCAGCAGCAACAGCAGCAATTTGCTGTTGCTGCAGTTGCTGCTGCAGCTCTTCCTCCAGTTGTTGCTGCAGTTGTTGCTGCTGCTGTTGCTGCTGCTGCTGCCCTGGCTGCTGCTGTTGTTGCCGCTGCTGTTGCTGCTGCTGTTCCTGCTGCTGCTTCTCCTGCTGTTTGTTTGTGTATTGGCTTGGGGATTTGGAGGCTTCGCTGTGCTGCTGCTGCTGCTCGTGCAGCCGCTGCTGAGCTGCTGCTAGGGCTTGCTGCAGCTGCTGCTCTCCTGCAGCAGGAATGCCTTGCTGCACGCAAAATGCGTGCAGAGCAGCAGCAGCAGATTCCCCTTGCTTCACGGATACATTTTGTATAGCACCTGTCGAGTCTTCTAGCTCTAATGCTACTGCTTCTGTTGCTTCTAGGCTTGCTGCTGCTGCCGTTGCTGCTGCTGCTGCGGCGGCGGCGGCAGCACCCGCTGCTGCTCCGGCAGCTGCTGCTGCGGATGCCGTAGGGGACGGAGAGAAGCGAGAGGCAGCCGGAGCCTCAGGGGAAACCCTGCCGTTCCTGCTGGTGCTGCTGCTGCGGCTGTTGACGCTGGTGAACTGCTGCTGCAGCGGAGACTTCTGCTGCTCCCTCCCCTGCAGCAGCAGCAACGACAAACAGTAGCAGCATGCCTTGCATGCAAAGGAAGAAAAGGGTAAACAAAAGCAGACAGCAGAATATGCAGCATATGTTGCTTACCCGAGGGTTTAGAGGGCTGCTGCCCCTAAGCATAGATGGCTGCAGCACTCCCGCTGCGGCTGCTGCAGCAGCTGCTGCTGCGGCTGCTGCAGCGGGAGTTGAAGTGTCACCTGCAGCACAAAACGAGGAAGCAGCAGCAGCACAATACAGCAGAGAAGAGAAAGGCGATCTCAACTGTATAGGCAACTGACTGTTTAGCTGTTGCTGCTGGTGCCGCTGCTGCTGCTGTTCCTAGCTTTATCTTTTCTGCTGCTGCTGGTGCTTCTGCTTTGATGGCGTACGCGGGCTTGTTGGGTCCTCATCATCAGGAAACGGTTGAGGCTGTGCTGCAGCAGGGGAAATAGCTTTTCCTGCAGCAGCAGCAGCAACCGCAGCAACAGCCGCAGCAACAGCAATAGCAGCAACAACAGCAGCACATGTAGAATCACTAGACAATGCGGAACCAGCAGAGAGTATGTGTATGGAAGCAACGGCTGTAGCGACGCACCGAATGCTGCTGCTGCTGCAGCAGCAGCAGCTTTAGTGGCAGTTTCTCGCTGCTGTGGGGTGGTCGGTGCTGCAGCGGCCACTGCAGCAGCTGCTGCTGCAGCAACAGAAGCTGATAAGGTAGCAGCATTTGCTGCTTCTTCATATATATCCTCCGTGTTGCACGCTGTATCGTTTGTTGCAGTATGCCTACCTGCTGCATCACCCGACTGTTGCTGCTGCTGCTGCTGCTGCTGCTGCTCCTCCTGCTGCTCCTCCTGCTGCTGGAAAGAGACTGGACTGTCTCCTCGTGGCGTTCTGAGCCTGTCTGCATCCTGTGGGGTAGACCTCGCGCTTACTAGCGGAGTACGGTCATCATGGCCTGCTGCTGCTGCTGCTGCTGCTGTGTTCGGTTCTGCTTCCTTAGGGGTACTCTCTTGAGGAGGAGGTGCCCCACGACCTGCTGCTGCAGCAGCACCAGATGCTGTTGCTGCTGCTGCTACTTCCGAGGTTGCATTGCCACCCCTCCTCCTTAGCTGCTCCTCATGCATTCCGTGTTGCGCGGCACCAGCAGCAGAGGCTTGCCTCAACAGGGGCTGCTGGTGCGGCTGCTGGTGCTGCGAGGCTACGCGGCTCGCTGCTGCTGCTTCTGCTGCTCTTAGTGCAGCAGCACCTGCTTCCCTTGCCCTTTTTATTGTTGCTACTGAAGCTCTTGCAAGGGCTAGGTAGGAGTTAGTTGGCTTGCGTAGGGTGAATTGCTGCAGCGGCACATGCTGCTGTTGCTGCTGCTGCTTCTGCTGCTGCTGCTGCTGCTGCTGCAGCTCTTGCTCCCGCTTGCGCTGCTGCTGCTGCAGCCGCTCCTCCCGCTGCCTCTGCAGCAGCGAGATTTGTCTGTCCACAAGAGAGAGACGATCAGAAGATGACGATACAGGGAATGTTGAGGCCCTACGAGGCTGCTCCTGCTGCTGCTGCTGCAGTCGCTGCTGCTGCTGCTGCTGCGGCGGCGGCGGCGGCGAGGGTAGACTGTTGTACGTTCGCAGATGCTGCTGCTGCTGCTGTTGCTGTCTAGGCAGAAAGGGGGAGCTATCGGAGGAGAGACGTGACAGCAAAGGACTTCCTTGTTTAACAAAATGACGGCTAGAGTGCGCTTTCCTTATTTGTTTCTGCTGCTGTTGAAGCAGCAGCTGCTGCTGCTGCAGCCGCAGCAGTTGTTGCTTCAGCTGCTGCTGCTTCTGCTGCACTAGCAGCAGCGACTGTCTCTCCACCAGCGACAAACGAGGGGAAGCAGGAAAGCTTTGCATGGTACGAGGTCCTGCTGCTGCAGCTGCTTCAAATAGCCATGGCTGCAGCTGCTGCAGCTGCTGCAGCAGCAACAGCTGCTGCTGCTCGTGTTGTTGTTGTTGCTGGCATTGGTTCTGCTGTTCTTGGGTTTGCTGCTGCTGCTGCGGCTCCATGTGCTGCAGCGGCTGTTTCAAGTCGTTTTGCGGCTGCTGTGCTGTTTGCAGCGGTGTAGTTGCTTCCCGCTGCTGCTGCTGCATTTGCTGCTGCTGCAGCTGTTGCTGCCACTGCAGCTCCTGCTGCTTCAGCAGCTGCTCCTGCTGTCGCTGCAGCTCCTGCCTCTTCTGCAGGTCTTCTTGCTGCCGCTGCAGCTCCTGCTGCAGCAGCTGCTGCTCTTGCTGCCGCTGCAGCTCCTGCTGCTGCAGCAGCTGCTCTCGTTGCTGCAGCAGCTGCTCTCGCCGCTGCAGCTGCTGCTCTTGCTGCTGCAGCAGCAACTGCCGCCGTGGCAGCGATACCCTTATGTCATCAGCGCTGCGTCTAGCATTCTGAGGAGCAACAGCTAACAGCCGCTGCTGCGGTCCTACGTATTTGCGGCTCTTCATCTGCTGCTGTTGCTGTTGCTGCTGTTGCTGCTGCCTGCGATTCTCCTGCTGCTCGCGGTGTCTCTGTATAAGGGAGGCCTGACGCTCAAGCAGAGACACCCGAGGAGATGACAGCATCGGCTGCTGAGCAGCAACAGCTGCTGCTGCTCCTAGTTGCTGCTGCTGCAGCTCCTCCTGCCTTTGCTGCTGCTCCATTGCATGAGACCCTTGCTGCGGAAGCTGGTCATACACAGGAAGGCCCAAAGAATCATATGCCTGCGCAGACCCCTCATGCAGCAGTTGCTGCTGTTGCTGCTGCTGCTGCTTCTGCTGCTGTGAATGCAAAGACGAAAAACGGGTAGCCCTCTGCCGCCGCAGCAACGGTAGATGGATGTGGTGCTGCTCCTTTTGCTGCTGCTGCTGCTCTTGCTGCTGCTGCTGCTCTTGCTGCTGCTGCTGCTGCTGGTCATCTGGACACTGCTGCTGCACCGGAGGGCTCTGGGGGCCTTTTGTTCTGCGGCGTTTGCTGCTGCTTCCGTCGGTTTTGTCCTTCTTGCTGCTGCTTCTGTTACTGCTGCTGTTGCGGTGGTGGTGGTGGTGGTGATTGTTGCTGTTATTGTTGCTGTTATTTTTGTTGTTGTTGTTGCTGCTGCTGCTGTCTAGTGCAACAAACGATCCTACATTTGTGGGGTTGCGTGCCCGCCTAACAGAATGAATGCGGCGGTGGTGGTGTTTGTTTTGCTGCTGTTGCTGCTGCTCTTGCTGCGGATCTTGCTGCTGCTGCTCGTGTTGCTGCTGTTGTTGCTCCTGCTGTTCTTGTTCCTGTTCTGACTGCTTCTTGCGACATTGCTGTTGTTCTTGCTGCCGCTCTTCTTGCAGCTGCTGTTCTTGCTGCTGCTTGTCTTGCTGCAGCTTTTCTTGCTGCTGCTGTTGCTCCTGCAGTTGCCCTTGCTGGTGCTCTTGCTGCTGCTCCTGCTGCTGTTGTTGTGGCAGCTGCTGTTGCTGCTGCTGATCATGTAAGGGCACTTCGAGTGCTTCAACTATCAGCATTTCATTTTCGGTTTGCTGCTCTTGCTGCTGCTGCTCCTCCTCCTTTTGCCGCTGCTCCTCCTCCTCCTTTTGCTGCTGCTGCTGCTGCTTCTGCTGCTGCTTTTGCTGCTTGTGATGCCTCATTGACAGGCGCTGCCTCCTAGGGGATTTTAAAGGGGCAGGGCTTCCTTGTGTCTCCTCCTGCAGCAAACTCAAACCCCACAATTTGCCAGAAGCTTTGCTGCTGCTATTGGTGCTGCTGCTGCTGCTGCTGCTGACTATTATTGTGTGTTTGTGAAGCTGTCAGAAGCAGCACCTGCTTGTCTGCTGCTGCTTCTAATTGGCTTTTAGGAAGAGTAGCAGCAGCTACAGATGGGGGAGCTGCTGCTGCTGCTGGGTTTTGCTGCAGCTCTGCTGCAGCCTGCACGTCTTGCTGCTGCTGTTCCTGCTGCGGCTGTTCTTGCTGCGGGCCCTCCGGTTGCTGCTGCTGTTGCTGCTGCTGCTGCTGCTGTTGCTGCTGCAGCTGCTGCTCAGTTCTCCGGGATGGCAGGAAAACCTTGAAAATGTTGTGCCTTTTGGGTTTAGATGCAACAGCAGCAGGGGATGCCTCGTGTGGTGCTGCTGTGTCTGAAGGGTCCAGCGGTGGCTGTTGCTGCTGTCCCTTTGCTGCTGCTAATGCCTGCATTTCTGTGACTCCTTCTTCCGCTTGTGGCGATTGGGGTGAACCGCTGGCTCCTGCTGTTGCATCCGTTGCGTCATCTGCTGCTGCTGCTGCTGCTCCATGCTTTCTCCCTGTTAGATTCAATACTCTCTTATAGCGGCGGCGGCTGCTGGGTGCTTCTGCAGCAGGTCTCTGGGGGGCCCTCCGATGCCAATGGGGCCCCCCCCGCATCCGCCTCTTGTCTGCTTTCTGCTCACCATCCTTCTCAGCGGCACCAGCAGCGGCACCTGCTGCTGCTACTGCTGCAGTATTGCCGTCCCTCCCTCCATTATATTGTGGGGAACCTGCTGGTGTGGGGAAACCTTCAGCTGCTGCAGTTGCCTGCAGCGCATGCAGCCGATGCAAGTCATGAGGATTTATATATACTGCAGCAGCAGCAGCAAAGGCAAAGAGATTAGCAATGAAGATCATGTAAGTAGCCCTGTCACCTGCAGCAGCACCAGCACCAGCAGCACCACCACAAAAACCAGCAGCAGCAGGAGCAGGTACAGCAGAAGCAGCAGCAGCAGGTGGAACACCCGCCCAGGCAGCAATAGCAATGCGGCTCGTAGGAGCAGCAACAGCAGAAACAGCAGATGCAGACACCAGGCAGCTGACCTGCAGGGGATGCATCCAGGTGCTCGAAGCAGCAGCACCTGTTCCCTTATTGCGCTGCTGCTGCGGCAGCAGCAGCTGGGGGGAGTCATCAGGGTAGAAAGTGTTGGGTTGTTGTGGGGACCTCGGGGGCCCTGAAGAATCAGCAGCTGCTTCATCTGCTGCACTTGCTGCAGCAGCAGATCGGGGTGTCTGCTGTTTGCCGCTCCTCTTACTGCGGCGATGCAGCAGCTGCGGCGACCCGAAGACCCTCAAGTGTACAGGCATCTCCAGATCTCTTTTACCTAGTAGAGGTGCAGCAAACTCACCAGCAACCTGGAGGTGCTGCTGCTGCAGCTGCTGCAGCAGCAGGCAGCAAAGGCAGCAAAGGCAGCAAATGCCTTGTCTTGGGCACGCTGCAGCGTTTAACGTCTAAGGGTTCACCCCGGGTCACCTTCGCTGCTGTCGATCCAAGTCGATCCCGCTCGATCCCTGACGATTCCAGACGATCCCAGTCGATCTAAGACGATCCCAGACGGTCCCAGCAAATCCCCGATGATCCCAGTCGATCCCTGATGATCCCAGATAATCCCAGACGATCCCAGATGATCCCAGGCGATCCCAGAGGATCCCATTAATAACAGAACAGGGAGCATCGCAAGGATCTAGCTGCTGCCTCGCTTCGGGTGTCTACGCCAACCAGGTGACCCTGGGGGTGACCCCTTCTGCTGCGAGATAAGAAACCCTAAGGAAAGACTCATAGAACAACTCCTCATTCTTTCTGTTGCTCACGCTGCAGCTGCTGCCTTCTGTAGCTGCAGCTGCTGCAGCTGCTGCAGCTGCTGCGGCTGCGGCTGCTCTGCGGGCTCGAGCAGCAGCAGCAGCAGCAGCAGCAGCAACCGCACCGAGTGGGATTACTTTGGAGGACTTCTTAAGGACGTTAGATCAAATCGATCTAATTTGTTGGCTTTTTTGTTCTTTTTTCTGTTTATGTTTTGTTCTTTTCTTTATTTTTTGTTTTTTTGCTACTTATTTGTATCTAAATAAATGTAAAGGGAAGCAAAGAGTAAACAATGTTGCCTTCTCCTTGGTTATCTGTAAATAAGTTTACAAAATATTATTCTTTTTTATTTTTATTTTATTGTATTATTATTCTAATCCCTTTGCTTACCTTATTTACATCTGGAGGGAACTACTGTCCCTGCTGCTGCTGTTGCTGCTGCTGTGCTGCTGCTGCTGTCGGCTGCACGAGATTTTTATGACCGGCCGCTCACATCCACACACTACAACGGCAGCAGCAGCAGCAACAGCAGCTGCAGCAGCTATTTGTATGCCTAAATGGTAACTTTACTAAGTAACATTAATTAATAAAAATAGAGGACATACATATAAACTGTATATTATATATATTATACTATATATACTATATACACACTATCTATTGATTCCGTTGACATCTATACGTATATACTGTACATATACTAAATATAATCTTTATATAGTTTATATAAAGTGTATATATATACTATAGAGTCTATATGGGAGAAAGGAAGACTATAGATATACTCTTCCTCTATCCCTGTAGTAACCCGTACCTATCCGTTCCTCCCTTCTTTACTTTTTCTTACCTGTTTCTTATACTTAGCTAGTTCTTTAAATAGTATTTCTTTGTCTATTCTTCTTTCCTTCTTTCCCTCTAACCCCATGTACGCATGTTTTCTCTCTTACCGCTTATTGGTATTATTGTCTATTAAAGCCTTCTTCGGGGCCCCGCGGGATCCCCAGGGGTCCCCCCAGGGGCCCCCCAGGGGCCCCCTAAAGGGCTTAAAGAGAGGGATCCCCTTTGGGTCCGTGTAGGTTTCCTCATGTGTACGTACACCCCGACTGCTGCAGCACAGCTGCGGGTAAACCCAATCTTCCCTTTAAGGCAGCAGAGCTGCTGCTGCTGCTGCTGCAGCACAGCTGCTTCTGCTGCAGCAGACATTGTTGCTGCTCCCTTGGGGGCCTCAGGGGGCCCCGCACAGTACCTGAAAATCAAAAACCCCAAGGGGTCCCCGAGAATTACTATGTGGGGGGCCCCACAGCTGGGGCCCCAGGAATCCCGCCAGCACCGACAGCAGCAGCCGCAGCAGCAGCAGCTGCAGCTGCTGCAGCTGCTGGGTCTGCGGCATCTAAAGGCCAAGATGGCGCATACATTGGCGCTACTGCTGCTGCTGCTGCTGCACAGTACGCCTCTGGAATACCAGCAGCAGCAGCAGCAGCGGCTGCTGCTGCTGCTGCAGCCAAACTGTCCTGTTCCGGCGGCAGCTGAGCGGACACATGCTGCTGAAGCACGCTGCTGCTGCTGCTGCAGCTTATTTCCCCTGGATGTTGGAGAGACACTGCGGTCTGCGGCAACAGTAGCTGCTGCTGTATCTGCGGCTGCGCAGGAAGGCATGAAGGCATCTCTTGCTGCAACAGCAGCAGCTGCTGCTGGTGTTGTTGCTGTTGTTGCTGTTGCTGCTGCTTCCTGCTTCTCGCACTATCATTACGCTGCCTCTTCTGCCCCTGCTGCTCTATGCCGCTCCCCTTAGCCCTGCGTCTCGCCCTTGGCTGCTGCATTTGTGGTTGCCTTTGTTGCAGCTGCTGCTGCTGCTGCAGTTGCTGCTGCTGCTGCTGTTCCAACAGGAGCAGCTGTTGCTGTCCCTGTATATCTAAGCAGGATGAGTTTTGCGGATCAGCTGGGTCTTGCTGCAGATGAGAATTGACGTGATCAGCAGCAGCAGCAACCGCTCCTGCTGATGCTGCTGCTGCATGGATGCAAATATTATTATGTTCTATGTGGCATGCATTTGAACTGTGGGGGCCCCCTGGGGGCCCCCAATCTTCTAAGAAGGACCCTTGCCCAGGGAGGCGGAGGCCTCCTGCCGATAGGGTTTCTTCTTGCCTTTGCAGCAGCAGCTGTTGCTGTTGCTGCTGCTGCTGTATGAGGCTCTGCTGTTGGTGTTGCTGCTGTTGCTGTTGCTGCTGAAGGCTGCAGTCTGTCCGAAAGAGGGCCTCAGCAGAATCGGGAGGGCCCCAAGGGGAGGCCCCTACAGGCGTGGGCCCTGGGGAGAGCAGCATTGGGGTGTCTGTACCCCCTGACCACCATTCCTGCTGATGCTGCTGCTGTGGAGCTGCATGCATTTCTGCTGCTGCTGTTGCTGCTGCTGCTTCCGCTGCAGTTCCTGGGCCTCCTGCTTCTCCAGATGCTGGTGGCCCTACTGCTGCTACTGCAGGTGCTGCTGCTCCTGCAGCCGATCCATCCCCATACGGCGGCGGCCCTGCCGACGCCGTGACGGCCTGCCAAGGGTTTTGCTGCTGCTGCTGCTGCTGCGCTGCTGCTGCTGCCCCCAGCAAAGAAGGGTCGTTTGAGAAGGCTGAACACTCGTCTTTTACTGCTCCCAGGTGGAGGTCCCCAGCACCTGCTGCTGACGACGAAGCCTCCAAGTTCATCTGCTGCTGCTGTTGCTGCTGCTGCAGTGTGACTTGGGCTCCCCCATAAGAGAACCCTAGATTGGGGGTTGGCAGCAATGAAGGATACGCTGTCTCTTCATCTCCGCTGCTGGCGCTGCAGCAGCTGCAGCTGTCGCTGCTGCTGCTGGCCAGCAACTGCTGCAGCGAGGGGAAACCCGATGATGTCCTTTGGAGCTGCTGCTGATCTGCTGCTGCTGCTGCTGCTGCCTTCGTGCGATGTCGGGGCCGAGAGGCAACAGAAGCATTAGAGCCTCTTGCGGCTGCTCTTCGCTGTGTTACCTGTGGGTGGTCTGCTGCTCTTGCTGCGTACGTGCTGCTGCTGCTGCTGCTGCTGTTTCTGTTGCTGCTGGGTGCCTTTACCTGCCAAGATGCGCAGCTCACATCGCTGCTGCTGCTGCTTATGCTGCTGCTGCTGCTATTGTCCGGGAGACCCCCAGCCTTGCTGCACTGCAGCAGGGGGGAAGGTGCCAGCTGCTGCTGCAGCTGCTGAGGAGCGGCAATTTGTTGCAGCGGAGCACCTTCGGGTGTATGCGCGGACGGTGGAGGGACCCCACATACATTATAAGGCATTGGGGCCAACCAGTGTTGCCGCGCAGCAGGGAGGGCTTGGTGCTGCTGCTGCTGTTGCTGCTGCTGTTGTTGCTGCTGTTGCAAGCTGCATATCTTTTGAGACGCTCGTTCCCACTCACACAACAGCGATGTAGGCGGTTCATGTCCAACTGCTGCTGCTGCTGCTGTTGCTGCTGCTGCTGCTGCTGGGTCCGTGTTGCAGGAGCCGTGATGGGCATCTTGGAAAGGATAGGGCGGCTCTAGATAACCGTCTTCAAGCTGCAGCTGCTGTGCTGCAGCAGCAGCAGCCGCTTCTGCTGCTGTTGCTGCAGGGCGGGCCGGCACCGTTGTGGCTCCTGTTGCTGCTGCTGCAGGTGCTGTTGCTGCTGCAGGTGCCGTTGCTGGGTCCTCCTTCTTTTCAATTGCGCATACAATGGAACTCCACTGCAGCCCATGATGTGCCACAAGACCCCCTCCTTGTTGCTGCTCTTGCTGCAGCAGAAGATGCCGCTGAGCATCTTGCTGCTGCTGCAGTTGCTGCTGCATATGCTGCTGCATCTGTTGCTGCATCTGTTGCTGCACTTGTTGCTGCTGCGGCTCTTGTTGCAACAGCTGCTGCTGTTGCATGTACCATGTGGTTGTACTACCGAATGCGGTCCCAAGGGACCCGTCAGCAGGGGGCCCTTCTGGGGGGCCCTCTGGAGGCCCCTCAAGGGGCCCCTCTTGATGCACCCCTCGGGGCCCCCCTGAGGCCCCTCCCTGCGGCCCATCTGGGGGCCCCTCTGGGGCCCCCTTTAACTCCATAACAACGGAATTGGAGGATCCATATGGAGCAACCCATGTGGGGAGAGCTGCGCATAACGCAGGCATCGTCTCTGCTGCTGCTGCTGCTGCTGCTGCTGCAGAGCTGTCATTGTTCTGTGCAGTTGCAGGGGACGCATTCATCATAAACAGGCGCTGCTGCTGCTGTTGCTGCTGCTGTTGCTGCTGTCGGCGGCTGTTGCGCTTGTTGTTTGTAACCCTCACACTGCTGCTGCTGCCCTCAAGTGAAGCCAAAGATGGAGGGGGCCCCTGGGAGGCCCCCAAGGATACCTCGGAGGGTTCTGGAGTTAATACAGATTCCATCAGCTGGGACTCATGCTGCTGCTGCTGCTGCTGCTGCTGCAGTATTTGCTGCTGCTGGTGGTGGCCTGCTGGTGGTCCTTCTTCCGAAGCTGCTTCTGTTGAAGGCGGCAAAGAAAGGCTCGTCATGGAGCAGCCGAAGGAAGCGTCTGCTGCTGCTGCTGCTGCTGCTGTAGGTGTGCTGCTATTGGTGCTTTCGACTTCCTGCGGATGCAGCAGCAACAGCTGCTGCTGTTGCTGCTGCTGTTGCTGCTGCTGTTGTTGTTGCTGCTGCTGCTGGAAGTCTGTACGTTTCCTCCTAGTCCTAGTACAATTCCTTCTCATCCTAAGTCCTGCTCCTGTTTGTCTACATCCCCCTCTCCTTCCTGTAGTAGGTGTCCCTTTGCTGTCTGCTACCTCTTGTGTTGCTGCTGTTGTTGCTGCTGTTGCTTGTGTTCCTACTGCTGTCCCTGTCGCTGCTGTTGTTGCATTTGCTGTACTACCTCCATTCCCATGCGTATCTAAATCCTTACCGCTATCCGTTCCTATCGCCTTATCATCATCCCTCCCTTCACCACCACCACTACCACCACCGCCACCGCCAGCAGCAGCAGCAGCAGCAGTAGGAGCAGTATTAGTATTATTAGAATTATGATTATATTTTTTTTTTCTAGCTTCAGCAGCAGCATTTCTTTTCATATGTATTAAATTAGCTAAGGTAACTTTTTCTATACCTTTTCTTTTTAATTCTTTGACCCATTCAATTTTGAATCCATTTGTATAACAAAATGAGAGGCATAATTCTTCGACTTGTCGCCAGCAGCCCAATAAATGGGCTGCATGCAATAATTCACGAACTGTTAATCCTCCCCAATTTGTTGTATGACCGGGGACACCACGACCTAAAATTATACCGTGTTCAGATAATATTGCCTTCTGTAGCAGCAGCAACAGCAGCAACAGCAGCAACGGTACCAGCAGATTGTGATGGTAGTGGTGGTGGTGAGAGGGGGAGTAGAAGGGAATGGATGTAGCTACTGCTGAACATACGGCAAGGTGCTAGCAATAACAGGGAATAATACAGTGTTGTTAGCAACAGCAGCTGCTGTTGCTGCTGCTGCTGCAATGGCAGAATTAGGAAGAGCAGCAGCAGCAGCAGCAGGAACAGGAAGGCTTACACATCTTGCTGCATCTAGGGAGCGTCGTTGATTAAGGACTCTTCTTAAGATTGCTCTTCCTTTAAGACCAATAGGAAGATCAAAGCCAGGGAACCACTGAAGCAAATAACCATCTGTTTCTGTTCCCCCTGGTGCTGTTGCTGCTGCTGCTTCCCCTATTGTGCCTGCTTCTCCTGCACCTGCAACACCGTCAGCTGCTGCTGCTGTGTCTGATCCTGATCCTGCTGCTGCTGCTGCTAAGCCAGCAGCCACGGGGTTGCTCTTCCCTCTTTCGTCGTCGCAAGGGGGCTGGCGCAGCCGTAGCAGCATTTGCTGCTGCTGCTGTTGCTGCCTGTCCTCTGCTTTGCCTTCAAGTTGTACACTGTGGACCCCAACTATTTCGTTAGGGGTCCCCTCCATTAGGGAGGAACCTGGTGCTGCTGCAGCCATTGTTAATGCTGCTGCTGCTGTTGCTGCTGCTGCTGCTACTGCTGCTGCTGCTGCTGCTGCCCGGGGCGTTCCACGTGGCGGTGGGCTACGGGGAGCAGCAGCAGCAGCAATTTAAAAAAAAAGCAGGCAGCAGCACAGCACGTGCAGCAGCGCCCCCCATCACGACGCTCGTGCTCACAGGCACGCGGCTAGTGATGTGCTGCTGTTGTTGTTACTGCTGCTGCTACCGTTGCTGCTGCAGTTGCTGTTGCTGGGGCTGTAAGAGGCAACAGCGGTAGCTTGGGGCCCCTAGGGGCCCCTGCCCCGTAGACGTGCTTCCACAGACTGTGTTGCTGCTGCTGGTGCTGTTGCTGCTGCTGTTGCTGTAACTGCTACTGTTCGGATGCCTGATAAAGTGGGCAGGAGTGGCTGGTTGTGGTTGATGATGTCACTGCTGCTGCTGCTGCTGCTACTGCTGCTTCTCCCGTCTGGGGCGTGGTTTGTCCCTCGCACACTTGCAGAGGTTGCTGCTGCTGCTAATGCTGTTGCTAACACTGCTGCCCCTTGGCATGCGAGGTACCTGTTAGCAGACCTGAGATTCTCTTTCTTTGCAGAGTTCTCACGTACTGCAGATCTGCTGCACCTGCTGCTGCTGCTGCTGCTGTTCCTGCCGCTGCAGCAGAAATCCCTGTAGAGTGGAACAACACCCTAGCAGCGTCAGATCAGCGGGGTGTCAGTGACGCGTGGGGTTGTTGTTGTTGATGCTGCTGCTGCTGCTTCTGCTGCTGCTGGAGAAGGGGTTGTTGCTGCAGCAAATGGTATAAAACAGGAGCCCCGAAGTAGCGAGGCTACCTGAGGGCTTTTCCTCTAGCATTTAGGTCTATTGCTGCAGCCGCCGCCGTAGCTGCTGCTGCTGTTGCTGCTGCCGCTGCTGCTGCTGCTGCTGCTGCGTCAGTGTAGCTGCAGCAGCTACTGCTGCTGCTGCTGCTGCTGCTGTTGCGCCCTTGTTGAATCTATCGCCCTTGTTGGCAGCAACTGTGGGGCCCCACATAATGCGCAAAAAGGAATTACCGAAGAACCTTTTTATTATTCATGATGGGTATTTTATTTTTGTTTTCCTGCGGCTGCTGCTGCCGTTGCTGCTGCTGCTTCTGCTGCTGTCTCGTCTCCCTATCGCTCCCCCCTGCCTGTCTATCTATCTGCCTGTCTCTGCTACCTGACTTCCTTGTGATGGCCGCTTGGCCTTTGCTGCTGCAGCGGCTGTAGGCCTTTGGCTGCTGTTGCTTCTGCTCTTTTGTGCCTCCTGCTGTTGTTGCTGCTGCTGTTGCTATCACACTTATTTCAAGAGAGGGACCGGCCTGGATCCCGGCAGCTGGTCTGTTCGTTGCTGCTGCTGCTGCTGCAGCTGCTGCACTCATCGTCTTCTGAGTTTTGCTACTCCTCTGGCTGTCTATACACTAAAATTGTCGCTTGCTCCCATGCTGCAGCAGCTGCAACAATTTCTACAGGCTGTGCAGCAGCAGCAGCTACTGCACCCTCTGGTTAGAGCTGCCCCATGGCTGCACTCGTGAGCCCCAAACGAAAGCCTGTTGCTAATTCTGCTGCTGCTAATTCTAACGCAAATAATCCTGCATATGCGGCTGCTGCTCTTCCTCCTCCAGTGAATTAGCGACAGTCTGCTGCAGCAACCTTTAGTACTTCCTGCAGCAGCAGCTGGGCTTCAGCAGCAGCTTGTTTAGGTGTTGCTGCAGCACCTTATCAATGAGTTGCTGTGGCAGCTTGTCTAAATGTTACAAAGAAGGTAGCTGCTGGGGTTACGGTGTACGTACAGCCCGTCTGTAAAAACAAAGCTTCGGGGCGGACAGCAACAGCAGCAGCAGCTGCCGCTGCTGCTGCTGTTGCTGTTGTTATTGCTATTGCTGCTTCGTGCCCCAGGTCATGGCAGCGCATTCAAAATGCTGTTGCTGCTGCTGGCCTTTCGATGATAAAGCAGCACAAACGTGAGTGCTCCCCACTGCAGCAGCAGCAACAGCTGCTGCAGCTGCAGCTGCCGCAGCATCACCCATACAAGCAGCAGACACTGTGGTGCAAAACAGGGACTGCGCTAAGCTTAGGTGTTGGCTACTGCAACAGGCAACGGGGGACTTTGAAGCGGCAGCAGCAGTTGCTGCACATGTTAGCAACAACTGCAGCATCAACTGCAGCAGCTGCTACACCAAGCAGCTGCAAAAAGTAACTGCAGCAGCAGCTGCTGCAGCACCAGCAAATACAAAGTAGTAGGAGCAGCCGACGGAAGGTGTGTATGTGTATTAAACTGACTGGAGCAGTTCTATACCATTTACGTTTTGCAGCAGCTGATTTGTTGCTGCAGCAATTGCTGCTGTTGTTGGGAGTATTGTGGTGTGCTGCATAATTGTACTCCTGCTGCTGCAGTTGCTGCTGCTGCTGCTTCTGCATGCGACTGACTATTTTTTTGCTGAGATGTTTTATTATATATTTCTTGCAAAAGATGCTCAAATATTAATTTTACATTTAATGATGTTACTGCTGATGCCTCACTAAAGAATAATCCATTACTCTGTGCATAACGAGCTGCTAGCTCGTATGGTACCTGCAGCAGCAGCAGCAGCAGCAGCAGCAACAGCAGAGGCGACACAAGGACAAGAATAATAAAAGGAGGCAAAAGGAGACAAAAGGAGGAAAAGGAGACAAAAAGAGACAAAGACAAGAATAATCAAGAGACACAAGGACACAAAACACCCACAAAACGAGAGAAAATAGGGGAGACAATAAAGGAGACAATAAAGGAGACGATAAAGGAGACAGAAACATTAAAACAATAAAATAATAATAATAATAATAATAATAATAATAATAATAATAATAATAATAAATAAGTAATTACCTCTATTAAGGAGGGACCTTAATCACAAAGATCAAGTTTATTACCAACAAGCATAACAACAATAACATGTACATATGCATTTATACAATAAAAACACCAATAAAACAAGAATAAAAAGGAAATAAATTCAATAATAATATAAATAAATAAATAAATAAATAATAATTCTTCTTACCTCTCTTAATGATGGATCTTGATCACATAGATCAAGTTTATTACCAACACGCATAACAACAACAATAACATATGCATTAATACAATAAAAACACCAATAAAACAAGAACAAAAAGGAAATAAATTTAATAATAATATAAATAAATAAATAAATAATAATAATAATAATTCTTACCTCTCTTAATGATGGATCTTGATCACATAGATCAAGTTTATTACCAACAAGCATAACAACAATATCTGGTTCAGCATTACTTCTTAATTCTTCTAACCATTTACTCGCATTTAAAAATGTTTTTTTTTTTGTTATATCATAAACTAATAATGCACCTAATGCACGACGATAATGTGCTGATGTAATACTACGATAACGTTCTTGACCTGCTGTATCCCATATCTGTAGCAACACCAACAGCAGCAGCAACAGCAGCAGCAACAGCAGCAGCAAATATAACAGGAAGGATGTTGTTAAGCTTTTTTTTGGTGGTTGTGGGGTAAAAAAAGAAGCAAAACACGAAAAAAAAGGCACTAAAAAAACGCCACAACAGCAGCAAAAAAACAGCAGCAACAACAGCAGCAGCAGCAACAGCAACAACAACAACAACAGCAGCAACAACAGCAGCAATAAAATATTTTACCTGTGCTTTAACAGTACCTCCAACAGCAAGAGGTACAGTTCTAGTAGCAAATTCAACACCAATAGTAGCCTTAGGATTAATAGGTAATTTTCCTTTTGTATAACGAGATAATAAATGTGTTTTTCCTACTGTTGCATCCCCTACTAATATAACTTTATATACATAATCATATGCATCACGATTCTGTTGCTGCTTTGGATCACTCATTATTGCTGCTGCTGCTGCTGCTGCTGCTGCTCTTGATGATAGTCTTACTACTACTGATGCCGATGCTGTTAGTGCTGCTGCTGCTGTTCTGTTGCTGCAACAGCTTATAATGATTATGATGATGGTGATGATGGTGGTGATGTTGTTGTGCTGCTAGTGATGATGCAGCTGATGGTGGTTGTGGTTGTTGCTGTTGTTATGGCCTGCTGCTGCTGCTTTTGTTGTTGCAGTTGCTGCTGCTGCAGTTGACGAAAGAAAGAATTCAAGTGGCTATAGTTTATGGCACATGAACCAATGAACAAGCATTAGAGCATTTGCTAGTGTGGTTGCTGTTGCTGCTGCTGCTGCAGTTGGTGAATGCCCGCTGCGCTTGCAGCAGCAGCACAAGAAGGGAAGGCAGCAAAAAGTGGGGTTGTTTGTCTCGCTGCAGCCGCAATTACCTCCTGGTAGCAGCAGCTGATGGTGTCACGCGAGTTGGCTGCCTGTCTCGCCCCTGAGGGGTATATTTCTGCTGCGGTTGCCGTTGCAGCAGTTGCTGCTTGTTGTTGTTGCTGCTGCTGCTGCTCTTGCTACTGCAGCAGTTGTTGTTGCTCCCGCTGCGGTTGCAGCTGCTCAGACAAGACACACCAGAATAAATGCAGTAATGCCAATTCTCCCTTCACTGCGGGCCGACCGACCGAGCGCCTCTGCTGCTGTTGTTGCTGTTGCTGCCGCTGCTGCTGCTGCTGCTGCAGGGAATGGCAGCAACTTCTCCTGTAGCTCAAATGTAGCTAAAAGATAAAGGTACTTCTGAGGCGTATGTACACCACAGAATGCAGGAAACACACACCTAGGGGCCAGTAAGAAATATCCAAGTGTCGCCGACTGCGCAGCAGCAGCAGCAGCAACAGCAGCAGCAGCAACGGCAACAGCAGCAACAGCAGGTGTTTTCAAGTGTCTTGTCAGATCCTTGAGGATAAAATCATCTCAAGAACCATAAAATAAAGGGATAAAAAGCAATTCTTTGTGTGGGTCCACTGTTGCAGTTTCTGCTGCTGCTGCTGCTGCTGCTGCTGCTCCCTTGGCTGCTGCTGCTCCCGAGCCGCCGCCGCCTGCGCTGAAAAGCAGCAGCAGCAACAACAACAACAACAGCAGCAGCAGCAAGATACTACCAAATTACCTCTACACTAACACTTCCTGTATTGACTGCAGCAGCAGCAATTAGTAGAGTTGCTAAGATTTTTTTTTTTGCTGCTGCAGTGCTGCTGCAGTGAACGCCATCTCAGGCACCGCCGCCGCCGCAACAGCAGCAGTAGCAGCAGCAGCAGGGCTACAGCTCTTCTCGTGCCTTGACTCAACAGCAGCAGCAACAACAACTAAAGAAAAGAAGTCTCTAAAATGTACTCAAAGAACTGACGGCAGCAGCAACAGAAGCCGATTCCTTTTCATTTGGCCGCTGCTGCTGCCGCTGCTGCTGCTGCTGCTGCTGGTCCAGCGAGATCGCCAGGGGTTTAGTTCAATGACTAGAAAAGGACAGAGCCGCTGAAGGATCCTCTCTCTGTTATTACCTGTAAGCAACACAGCAGCAGCAACAGCAACAATTGTAGCAGCAGCAACTGCAGCCGCAACTACAGCAGCAGCAACAGCAGCAGCAGCAGCAGCAGCAGCAGCAGCGAGAAACGATTCAATTGGCGGTTGCTGCTGCCAATGCTTGACGACCACTTTAGGGCCTCAACGGGATTCACTAACTCACAGCAGCAGCTGCTGCTGCAGCTGCTGGCGCTGGTGGTGCTGCTGTTGCTGGGCATTCGTGTCCCTGCGAAGAAGACTTTGCTACAGTGTCTGTGCTGCTGCTGCTTCTGCTGCTGCTTCTGCTGCCATTGTTGTCTTTCAGCGTGGGCGTCTCTGCTTCTGCAGCGAAGATGGCAGCGCCACCGGTAAGCAGCACACCAGTTAGAGTTTGCTACTGCTGCTTCTCCCGCTGCTGCTGCTGCCGCTGCTGCTGTTGCTTGTCTTCCTTTACTTTTTAATGTTAATCATTTATTGTTTGTTATGTATTGTTTCCGTTTGTCTTTCATTTGTCTCCTTTTCTGTTTATTTTTGTCTCTTTTTCCTTTCTTTGTACTAAAGTGCTTCTTTCTGCTGTCGCTGCTGCTGTTGCTGCTGCTGCTGCTGCTGCTGCAGGGGAAGGAGCAGCACGATTACCTGTTTAAGTTTATTATAATTGGAGACGCAGGAGCAGGGAAGTCTTGTCTCCTCCATCAATTCGTTGAAAACAAATGTACGTACTCCTGCTGTTGCTGCTGCAGTTGCTCCTGTTGCTGTCGCAGCTGCTGCTCTTGCTGCTGCTATAACGTACGGATTTATATGTATATATTATATATTGCGTATGCATATATATATATATA